TTGGAGTTTTATTGCTTTTTATTGAGAGCAGTACTAATGTCAATGTTTTCTATGATCATCATCTTCACTCTAATCACTATTCTTTGTATCACAACTATTATAATACATACTGTTTTTGCTCCCTGAAGAACTTTGTAACTCTTTCAAAGAATTGCACAACGATAAAAAATATTGAAAATGATACTGCACTAATTGGAATAATAACAAATTGCTTTTATTTTGTGTGTATATCATCTTTGAAGCCCATGAATATCTTTTGAAAAATATTAAATAAACCAGATAATATAAGTTTATTGTGGTTTTCTAATATATAACTTCTAACAAGTTTCTACTATAAAATACAATTATTACAATACATTGAGTTTCAGTAGATGAAGATATTTATCAGGATCTAGATAGACTAAATTTCTGAGCAGAAACAAATGGCATGGCAATAAAAAGTTTGGAAAGCAAAACTATAACATGTGGAAGGGGATGAGATATGCAACAAAAAACATTATTGTCAGTGTAACACATTTCACAATTCATTTTTTTAAAATTTGTTGCATCTGAATTTGACGCAACGTGTCTCCAAACCCCTTGGGGGGCGTTGAACGCTTTGCACTTGGGAGTAATCTTCCGTTAATTAGTCTGTGTCCTCTATTGGAGTAAACCTTCATTACATGTCACGTCTCGTTACAGTCAGTTGTCAAGAGAGGACCACCAGGTAACATCTCTGCATGCGTGCCTACTACTACACGCTCCTGTGTCACTACCCAGTGGCCTGAAATGGGAAGGAATTAGGATAGGGGTAGGGTTAAGGACACTTCACATGGGTTGGACTAGCCCTTGTGAAGCAGCCAAACTCGTGTTGTGGGAACAAATTTCACATGAGACTTATCTTGTTAATCCATGGTAATAATTTTTTACAGCCAGTAGATTGGGAAAAAGGATTTTAAGTTTTTCCTAAGGAACTGGAACTACTTTCCCTAACAGATACTCAAAAAGTGTACAGTGAAAGTGAGAGAATTAATTGACATATCTTTTGTTTGTCCTTTAATGGAATTCATTTGAACAAAGGTAGAAATTTACAACAGGAAAATTAGGATATGATACAGAGGAGATCATAAAGTTACTTTCCTAGGCAGTAGGAAAAAAATAGAATTGGTGTCACTTGATATAAGAGGCAAGATTCCACTTGCCAGAGCCAAGAACCAATTATCCCGCTTGAAAAGATTTTAACTCCTAATTTGTTAGACGTACATACTTCAATTGATGATTTTACAAATACAAAATTCAGTTGACATTACAGAGAACTGTTCAAAAAGTTTCCTTTACAAATAACATTAGCAGTCTGCAACCCATTTTCTAGGTTAGGGGTTCTGCAATGACCAATAGTTGAACGATGTATTTAAGTTAATAAATAAATAAAAATAATAATAAAAAATATATTTTAAAAAATTAAAAAAAAAGCTTGAAGTTAGCAACATTTGAAAAACTAGACATTTTTTCTCCCGAGTTAAAGTAAACTTATTTGCATGAGTAAACCAACTACTGTTCTGATTTTTTTGCACCACTAACAAACTAGTAACACATCCCTGGCCCTACTCCTACCAGTACTAGCGATAGGTGAGCTTAACAAAATAAGCGCGTAGTGAAGCTAAAGCTACATTTACAGAAACAAAATAAGGGTCCATCTCTGTATTTGCTCAATGGGTCAAGAAAACTGGACAAAAACCTGATTGAGATGTGGGCCATTCTGAAGTACATTACTTATTTCAAGCAAATTAGATTTTTTAAAAAATTATACAATACAAAATTTGTATTACATTTAATGTAAACAAATGCATTGTATATCATTGTTAAAATTATTTTTCTTTTTGATAATCAGCATAGTCTTTAACTGTATAGAAACAGTTATGCAGCAAAAAATATTTTGTGTTTAACTTAAATTTATGTACTGATTTTAATTGTTTAATGTTATCTGGCAATGCGATGTAAAATAACATACATGTATTGTATGTGGATTTCTTTTTGTGAGCTGTTTACACTGACACCTGTTGATTGTAATTTCTATGATGTGTGTTGTAATTATAAATATCACACATGAAAATATATTCCCACCATTAAGTCAGTTAGTTTTGGCAGAAACTACAGATTCAGATTGCAGTAATCATGTGGATGGCATGATGGATTTGAATTTTTTCTTTCCACAATCTAAAGGTCTGAGAACTACAGGATAAGCTACCCAAGAATATTATGCCATATCTCAGGCCAGAATGCACATTTGCAAAATATGTGCAATGAGCTGAATGAAGGCTGACAGAATTTGAAAGAATTCTGAATCATAATATAATGAACTTAATTCCATTTGAGGTTTGACTGAATTGAGATACCCAGAAATTTTGTTACCATAGCATCAGATAATTGGATATTTTTCATTTTCAATGAAGCATGCAATTGCCAATTTGAAATGCAAAAATTTGATGCACCCTTTTTCCTTCATTAAATATTAATTTCTAATTATGAAACCAATTTGAAACTTCTGAATTTTGAACAGGCTTAGTGTTGAGTAAGGAGATGATTGGGGGTGTATAGCCAAATATAAATCAGCAAACGACAGGTATAATCAAGATCACATTAATTACAAAAAAATATTAATTGATAATTAATATGAACTTCATACTTTATTGTTTCCTGATTTAGAACAACAAATTATATAATAATAAGGTACAAATTTGCTCCTCTTCTTTTGTATCCTTCATTTATCCTTAGGGTCAGAAGTGTAGGTAGAGTGATGCTACCATTGCATTGCACCAGATTCTACAATAAAGGATCCCTTAATAAGGACCTCTGAAGATGCATATTAGCAAAGAATAAAACAAACTGCACCAATTGCGTATTTTCTTCACTCTTTTCTAAATGTGTATACCATTTGGATTTAAATCTTGTAATTTAATGTTTATAGCAGATAGCCCTCTTTTGATTTTCTGCACTGGGGCATCTGAGAACCTGGCCTCACAACTTAGAACAGTTGGAAAACTCAACAAATTATAACTACGTAATGATAATGATATTCTATTGTGGAAGAAGAAAACTCCCTGCAATATACACATGAGAAATGAAAGTGTGACCAAGTTAAAAACCCTCAACATTTTGTAACCTTTGTCTAACAATGAAAATTAGAAACTCATATTATTCAGAAGTATAAGCATCTTTGATTATTGTAAATCTAAATACTTACAAAAATATTTAAAAACAAAATTGTTATTTTTAAAACACTGATGAACAATAATTTATGTTACGATTAGAGAGTGGATTTTGATGACATAAAATATCAACAAAAATGATTAAAAAATGCCCTTAAAATTTTTTGAAATGCCCTAAAAGCAAGGAAAAAGACTTAAAAAATGTCCTTAAAAACCAATTTGAATGAACAACTCAAGCTGTTGGATATGTCACTGATATAATCAAGGCTTCCTCTATTTGTTCAAGTGAACTCACCTTTTGAACTTTTGGTGTTCTTTAGCAGGAAATTGCTGTCTCTAGTTATCTTGAAATTGGCTGAACTGACAATGGTGCTGATAGGAGTCACAGGACCCTTAGATTACAGACTCTGACATGGCTCACTGCTTTCTGAGCAAAGAAATCAAATAGGCTACTCAGGAATTCTGTGGAGAACATATGTTGCATCTCATAAATATTATTTGAAGCTAGTAACAATAAAATTATTTTAAAACAGATTAAATCGGTGAAAACAACATTCAATATTACAGAAAAAGCTTTTTCTAAAGTGAAAATAAAAAAATGACATTTCATTAAAATCTTCCCCCTTGTTATCATTATGTATGTAATGTTGTACATAATAAGATAAGAGGTCAATGGAGTCAAAAATTCCTTCAGAAAGGATCAACAAATGAAAAAGGTTGGGAATCCTTGTTTGAGTTCAAAACTTTAAAAACAAATTAATCAATAATTAATTGAGTATTTTATTAAGTCATGAATTCGATTATTAAAACAGTTTTACTGTCATAATTATTTTACCTTCTTTAACACACATTTTTAATAATAAAAATAAATTAATGGTGTGCTTATATTGAAGGAGAGTGAAAAATAGAGAAAGAAATGATCCTTCTGTTTGCTTCTGTCTTTAAACATTTTTCTTTTCCATTACCAGCTCTGCTGTTTCTTCATTTCAAATCTGCAAACAATTTCTGTTCTTTGGCTTCCCAAATGGAAAGCCATTTCTATTTTTTTCATGACTACATTAGCGTTTTCACTTTTTCTCCTACTTCAGAGTCATAATTTTATTTCTTATGTTAATTTAATACAATGCTCTAATTGTTTTTCCTTCTAATGAAAACATTAGTTTCCAACATCAAACAGATTATCTGTAAAATTAATTTTAGCAAAAAATCAAGAGAGACATTTTTCATTAAGCTAATTTAATGTACATACTTACCTGCTTGTATGTCTCATCAGATTTATTTGCTGTTAAAAATGAAGATACCTCTTAACCTCCAAGTATCTGGAACTGAATCTCTTTCCTCAATATCATTATTAAATTATCAAGGCATAGGTGAAATGTTTGCATTTTCACCCTAATCCAGTGCTTTCACATAAAAGTGTGAACGCATGATTCATAAAAATATATTACTATTTTAATCACTGCATAAAAGGAGTATACAGAATGAAAAGGGCAATTACCAGAAAGATGAGTGAAATTATTCAGGTGTTATGGAGGGAAGAAGGAACTGATAATATAAATTGATAAAATAATTTTTCTGTTAATTTTTCAAAATTATATCACTCTGAGATACAAAAGCTATCTGAAAAGTATTAATACTTTATGGTAAGTAAGGTGTTTTATTATCTGAAATTGAAAGCTGTGCTACTTGAATTTAATTTTCATTACATTTCTTTCTGTTTATAAAAAAATCTCATATTTGTCATCTGTAAATTAAAAAGTAATTTTTCATTTTGAGGTCAGGATTAGGATACATATGGTAGTTTAAAGATGGTTTCAAGATTAACGCACTGTAAAGCTCTTTATTGTTTTTTAACAAGAGTCAGAACATTCATGGAGAGTTGATGTGTGGAAGAACACCGTCTGATTTAAAAAGTGTCTAGGTTGTCATGTATAATTGCTTATGTATATATATGAATATTTATATAGTTAGAATAAGTAAGAAAATCTATATTATGTGGTAAAATAGCCTTTGAATAAGCAAATCAAATTTTATATGTGCCCAATATATATGACAATTCCAAGAAAATAGCTTCTCTTAGAAAAGGAGAGTCAATAACATTATACCTAATTGAAAGGGCATTTCATATTTTAAAGATAGTATTTGACCTACATGCTTATGTGCCAAGAAAATAAAATTAAATCATCATAAATCTTTGGTATCATAGTTACTCGGCATCAAACACATTGCACCATGTCAAGATATCACATTAAAGCCATAGCTATGTACACCACATACGAAATGTTTTTAGAGAAGCTACAAATGTATTTTCTTGCTTCTCTCTCATGTACTTTTAAATTGTTTCATGGTATTATGTTATACAGTGTAGAAAAAAAGCAGGTACAAAATAATGTTCATAATGTTCAATGCACTATGAAATCTCTGTAAATAAACATCTTTCCTTTTTGAGTGTAAAAGGTATGAGAAGTCTTAAAAATATATTTACATCATTATAGAATGAGTGATATGTGTCTTATTTTTCTTAACAAATATACACTTTATTTTAAAATTTAGAAACATCATCTAAACTATCAATGGTTGAGAGACTGATTGTGTAACTAAAATATATGTACTATAAGTTAAGTACAAACAAATATAAAGAATAAAGATCTTTTTAAGAGACAGAATAATTGATTCTGTGCAAAATAATCAAGAGTTCTTGGTGGTGAATATATCATATATATAATTTAACAGTTTTTCTTAAATTATGGTAACTTGATTTAGTGACTATTTTACATATGGGCAAATGCATTGTAAAATGTCAATGCATATCCAAAATGAATGATTTTAACATCAGTGGAGATGACTATGCACACTCACATTTACATTAATTACAGCAATCACATAGCTAATATATAAGTAAATAGAGACAGAAAGAAATGCTAATATGAGGCTGCCAGAAAGGATATCAACATTAGTACACACAATTTTAGCACATCTGTAAATACTGCAACACAACATCAAAACTGACTGTCCTAAATGAATGCAAAAGAAGATCACTATTGAACAACATCAAAACTTCTGACAAGTCTCTTTAGAGCAGAAGTAGCAGTTGGTTTTACATCTACATCTAAACACTCATACAGCCCTACACTTTCAAAAAGGCAGTATCATATTCCAAGGCAGTACAAGAATGATCCTCCTCCTTAGCTCCCGGACATTACAAACATCTCACTAAGATTGATATGATGAAAATATGGAAAAATCTGTTAATACTAGTACACCTATCAATATATAGGTGCTGTAACAAACAACTATACGGCACATCATAGTCAGGCAAGGGTAGGCACCCAGTTTTAATACATATGTATGTAAATGTTGAAGGTCTGTCATACATATGAAACAAGTACAATAAAAATGTAACAGTTTTCAATTCCCAACAATTCATTAATTGAGCTAAGGTAACATTTTCTTCTGTGTAACAGATTTTTTTAAAATGTAATACAGTTGATAGCTCAACTATGTTTTGATACATTAAAAAAACTCAAAACCTGGGAATTGAAATGCAGATGACAGACCAGTCACTGCTGTTAAATGCTTTTGTAAATTATACTGCTTAGTCTAACCTTTGTACCTCAAAATATAATCTACACACACTAGAATGTATTCTGTATAGAAGTGATATTGAAAATAATTTATAACATCTACAATAAAGCCCATCAAATACATAACACTTCTTACAATGCAATGAAGACAAAATTTAAGTCTCCAATGGTCTGCCAACAAACTCTGGCATTATGGCAACAGATATATGAAAGGATATAAGTGAATTAGAGACAACATCTAGCAAACAAAGTCAAAAGGTGTAATCTCAACATCAAGATACTTGATATTCACATGCTCAGCTCAAAAGCAAGTGAATGTATTAATTACACTTGCAACATTCATTATGAGCTAACTTATCTCATACAGCAAATGTTTTAATTATCTCTGAATGGACAGAATGGTAAGCATGTGAAAAAATAATGCACTCGTGCAGTTGGCCGGCAATAAGTCTGAACTTATTTCCTCGAGTGACTAGCAAGCTCTAGTTTAATAACTGCCAGTCTGGATTGTCTCTTGGCTCCTTGGTTAATGTATTAGGTTATATTGGTAACTTCTATGTGATATAGCACAATGAACTGGAAATAAAAATATTGCTACTTCCAAAAAAATTTCTCTGAAATGACGGCTTGTTGTGCGTGAAATCCAAACTCTTTGGTTATTCTTGCACAATCCTGCACAAGCAGATCTCTTCCATATATACATACTCTTAATAAAATACACACAACTTGTACAGCAAATTCATCCAGTCTGTATCACAAAAAGTCTTGCTTATCAATTGTTTGAAATACTAAAGGTCCCAGCCTCCAGTTATGGCAAGTCAAGCACCATCACAGATTTCACTTCCCAGATCACTCCTGAATAAGTCATTCTTCAAAACAATTATCAACACAGAGAGTGTTGAGAAGTCTTTATTAAATGTAACTACAAAATGTAAAGCCACATCACCAAACCATCACAGTTTCTTCTTAAAAACATCACTTTCCATACAAAGCACCAATTCCTCACTGTGAAAGCAACTCTTTCAAGGACAGTGCAAAGAAACACTTCCACTTGCCAGCACATTATTAAATTCCTCACACAAAGTAAAATGTGAGGACTGAGGTACCTTACTATTTCAAAGTTTTCGTAATGCACTAATTGCAAACAATTTAATGTGTCTTGTATGAACAATTGCTTCTAGCCAACAACAAAATATATTATTAACATATAAAACAAATATATACTTATATAACTTGTCTTTTCAATATCAATATGAGAAGTAGAAAAGTCACTAAGAAGTATCAGAGTTTGTTATAGCTGCTTATTTATTGGATATTCAGAGCACTGAAGAGTAGATTCACGGTACCTTCAACTATAAGGATAGTCTGCAAATACATCAAGTGGACTTTCTTTGTTTTTGTTGATAGAAGAAGCTTATTTCACAGGAGACATGGTGGAGGAACTAAGCTTCAAAAAGACAATGTCTGAAGGTACCTACGTAGCTGCGAAGACACCTGGAAGCAGTTCAGAAGGGAAGGCTAGCCACAAACATATTTTCAATGAGAGGTGGCGCAGGTACAAGGTCTTCTAACTTAAGATAGAAAATCCTTTGCAGGCCTTGGACACTTAGTGATCTTAGTTCAGGTAACTTGCCCAACAGACGGGAGAAATAATGAGCCTTTCGTTGAGCCTCAGCATTGTAGGTTACATGGTCTCGCAGTGAACTAATTATCTTCATTTGGAGCTGTTCTACTTTGTGAGGTTCTTTCAAGCCATGGCGTTCTGAAATACAAAAATAAAATTTTAGTCCTAGCATTCCACCATGAGTGCAGCATTTTCATTTTTAACTGGCTACTAATTATTGACACTACACTAGAAATAAAATTGCAGTTTTTATTCTCACCTGTAACCAATGTTAAAGCACACAAACACGCAAAAGCTGAGATGTCAATGTCCATGGCATGTAATGACTGACAAAAATCCATTATGGCATGTAACCAATCCCCAAAACTGCGCTGGCACTGCTGTCTATCGAGAACCACACCATTGCAGAAAGTCAACTTGGTGTCATCAGGACGTGTTCTAAAACAAATGAAATAAGTACATTAAATAATATTGCAAAAGACAAATATAAATACAGAAATTGAAGGATTATATGCAAAAATTGTCTGATTATGGCTTGCCACTTAAATCGAAATAATTATTTTCGAAGATCCTCTCATTAAAATGATTATATTTGGTACTCTGTCTAATAGATAAAGATACAATTGCCTCTCAATTAGGCCAATAATAGGGTCTGTGGGTTACAAAGCATTAGGTCTAATTCGTCTCTCACCTGTGGGCCAGCCGCAGGGCGAACAACTCCAACGAAGCTGACTGAAATAGAAGCTCCTGGTCATCGCGGCTGAGGTCTTGGAAGCCCGGAATCTTATCAGCAAACGTGCGGATCACGTCGACGGAGGTTGTAAGGAGATTATAAAATTGTTGAATTTTCTCTGCCTCGCTGATGGCTGGTTCGGTGGGTGTAGGCTCACGATACTGGAAATGTAAATGCATCATTTAGAGAGGAAGCAATCGACTTCGATGGATTGTTAAAACCATTAAGGGGTAGGTAATAGAAGTACTAATTCTATTATGAGACTGGAGTAGATGCTTCAATCTTGTAACATTGCTCAGAAAAACTTCAGCAGGGTTACTGCTCCAAATGTATTCAATTTTTTTATTTAAATAAGTTCTGACAATTTTTGTGATACTAATTTCATGCGACTACTCGAATATTTGCAATATTTTAAGTTATAGTACTTCCCGTTAATATATTTGATTTATAAACTACTAATACGTAAAAACAATTTATTATGTAAATATAATAGGCATTATCTGTGCTTTAATGTTATTTCAATGCACGGAATATAAGCAAAAGATCCTAAGTTACTGCAGGAAGTTTCGCAGCATCTAAAAAATTCTCAGTTGCTTTTCGCTCACCTGTGAATAGTCGAGGTTGGCGAGATCCGGCGTGGTGTCCACGTGCGCCCGCACCAGCGCCGTGATGAGAGACACGGGCGGCGACGGCGGCGACTCTTGCGGGCTCTTGGGCTTGGAGGGCAGGCGCCCTCTGCGGCCTTTCAGCGAGTCTGTGCGCACCACCTCCTTGACCATTCCCACGGCCAGGCACTTCTGGAAGCGGCAGAATTGGCAGCGGTTGCGACGCCTCTTGTCCACAGGGCACGCCTTGTCGGCGAGGCACACGTATTTGGAGCCTTTCTGCACGGTGCGCTTGAAGAAGCCCTTGCAGCCCTCGCAGGTGCGCACGCCGTAGTGCTGGCACGCGGCCGTGTCGCCGCACACTGCGCACAGGCTGCGACGGCGACTGCGGCGCCCGGGCCCTGGCGCCCGCCGGGCCGGCCGGCGTGGGGCGCGAGGGCCCGCGGGCGGCGCGGAGGGCGGGGCGGCGGGGGCGCCGGCGCCCGCGGGTGCCACGCGGCAATGCCACCGACAGATGCTCAGCGCCCACGGCGAACGAGGAACGCGCTGCTGGAGGCGGACGGGCCCGGCCCGCCGCCCCCGCCGCCGCTCGCCAGCGAGCCCATGCGCAGCTTCGGGGATTCGCTGCTGGAGCTGCAACAAGACCACACGCCGCATTGGCATTTATCTTACTGGTTAACTTGCAAGGGAGCATACGATTTTCAAAAAGATCTGCCTCTTATCACTTGCAAATAATATACTTAATACTAGGGGCGACCAGAAGGAGAGATAGTTTTTTCAGTTGTATGGAGCGAATAATTTTACGTAGGAGGCGGAACTTTTATTTGATATAAAGGGCCTCCATGGATCTACTGCCCCCAGCATCTTGTTTTCTCTGGGCGCCAGCTAAAGACATACTATTTTTAAACCTCATCACACTATGCGTAACTTCAGGATATTTTATTGGCATGGAATGTAAAGGAACTATGGTGACTCATTCTTAATACCTTATTTCGGTAACAATAATGACAAATGCATTAAACTTCACCGAGAAGTTACTGCTCTCCCTTTTTGCAGCGGTGCACAACTAGTATTGGATGGACGTACGTTAATTAACTAGTACGATATTTGACAAGAATCGTTCGGCTGAAAGGGTTTCCGGAAAAACGTTTCATAAATCCGACCCTGACGCGACAATCTGATCCGCAACTCCCGAGTCGACCACTGGGCGTTCTTTGGCCGGTTCCCACGGTGCGCTTCCTCAGAAGCCCGCTCGTAACACGCGAGCGCTTGCAATCGGACTGGGGCCGTCAAAGCGCCGCTTCCAATTAACATCGACTCGCTCGCTTCCTCCGGATAAGAGCCGCCTCGGCCGGACGCCTCGGCCCGCCGACAGCCCGAGATCACGAGGCGCGCGCCCGGCTCGATGCGATCTACGCGCCGGGGGACGCGCTCCGGACCCGCAGGCGTGCGAAACGGTGTTCAGAGCCGCCACCGAGGAGTGACTCGGAAAGCGAACATGCCCGGTCATTGTACGACCAGCGGTAGCTGATGGGCCTTTTATCGGTCAGTTCCTGAGTTACTGATGTATCTTTATGCTAAAAGAACGTGACTGATGTCAAGTAAAATAATCAACTGCATAACAGGAAAAAAAATCGTACAGCATTGTAAATACTGGTTCCACATAGTTTGTAAATAAATTTATAGTATTCAAACACGATCTGATGCCAGGTGAAAACCTAGTTTTCTTCGCCTTAACATTACAGGATGTCCAGCATATTATTATTGTTCACACTGGATTTTCTTGTAACTGGTAACTTGGTAAGTTCTGCTTCGACGAAGTGCCTCTAAATACCTAGAGTGTTTCAGCAAATTTCCGCAAATTCCGTTCAGGAAACATACGATAAACAAATTGGCTGATCTCTCACGGTGACGGAACATATCGGAACACCGAAGCCAATTTGCGCGTCTTCGTGGCTGCCTCGGCTCCCGGTGGGAGCGCCCGCCGCACCAGCCCGCTCCTCCGCTGCCCCGCCGACCGACAGGTACAAGAAGCCGCCGGCGGGCGTCGTCGCCGTCGTCGCCGCCACCGCCGCCGGCGCCGACGGAGCCCTCCGCCTAGCCGAACGGGCGCGCTCGCCAACATCCCGCCGCCGCCGCCGCCGCCGCCGCCGAGTGCGTTCATTAATCTTGTTACCGGGACGCGCGTTCGGACTTCGCTAATTTATCAAGGCGGGCCCGCGCCCGGAGGTCTGCGCGCGTCGCGCGCCCGCCAGAGGCAGCGGACAGCGTAATTTGGAGGCGGGCAGCACCGGGGCCGAGCGACGGGCATGAAGAATTTCAGCGATTTAGAAGACGGCGATTTTGGTCGAATTTCAGCTACCGGGACCTGATGTGAAATCCAACGAATCTGGACAATGCCATATAAACGAAATAAAGAAAAGTTCTGATATTTGTTTTCCGGCAGTCGTATTAATGGCACGGAGAAGTTTTTTTTTTATTTCTTCTGGAGTCGAACTTCTTACATAGAAGAAACGTATTACAAGTATCGTTTGAAGTTCCTGATTGTACTTTTGAAGTTTAGTTTGTTATGTTATGATATGCTGTGATTTGTTTTGTTAACATTGACAGATTTCTCAAGATGATATTATACATATTTAGTATACGTATTTAGTAGGCCAAGTTGAAGTGCTTGTTTAAATGATCAAAAATCTAGATTTCGGCCCTTAATTTTACTTCCCTCCTTAATTAATCGAATATTAAGCCAGTATACGTGAATCATGGGGGGAGATAGGGCGAAATGATATTTTCTACGAAAAAAGAATCTGAATATACCTCAGGGCATGCAGAGTCTACCATAACGTCGTCTGCAAAAACTTTCTCGCCATCATCGTCGACAGCAGCGTCGGGGGGACAGCGCGAGCGAAGGAGCGGGCGGGCGCGGCACACGCGACGAGGCGGGCGGGTGTCGCCTCGCTTGCCCCACTAGCACACGGACTGGCGCGACAGGTTCCAGCGGCGGATCAAAAACGCTTTCGACAAATCGGGCGTCTGGCTTTATAGGGAAATGCGATCTCGTGACGCAAGGCGGAGCGGGGACGTGCGAGTTTCGTTGCGCAACGACGCGACGGATCGCGGATTCGGCTCGGCCGAGGAGTCGTTTACCCCTAGGTTGCGTTTGCGTCGGCCGTCTCGAAATACCGACCACACGTCTCACGAAAAACCATCTCGCAGATAAGCGAAATGGGAGAAACGAGCGGGTCGGAATGGTAGTATGAAAACATGTTGAAGGGCATTCTTCGTCTTGGAGAGATATTAACTTCTGAATAAAAAAAGGTGGGACGATAAAAATCTTACGTAAATAATAAACAATGTCCTAAATATTCATGAGTCTTGAAGTCGTTAAACACAGTGCTTTCAGATGAAAAATAATGATTATCAAAATCATGAAAGTTATTTTTTACATGCAATTTTTGGCCGTCATTTTTTAATTGTTCCCCTTCACGGATTTGAAGGACCTAGTTTACGAGATGACGCGAGTCAGCTAACGCCTTGTTTACTTTCACCAACTCGGTGTCAACGACCGCTGTTAGCAAGAATTGTCCGACGAGTTATATTGAAAGTGATAGGTCGCTCTAGATAACGATGATTGTTCAACTGCTGCAGAATAGATGGGGTTGCGAAAGGTCTGTGAGAGATGTATGCCGTAAGGTAATTAAGTCCCTGCGACCACTCGTATATCATCAGGTGATCTCTTTGCACTACCGCTGTTGTATCTTTATCCATTATTAATGTGCTACAGAGAATTATCGTTTGTATCTGTGAGGAGTATGAAGTTCTTTCACTTACTTGTCTTACTTAAGCACTGACCGAGTTTTAGTGCTCTATTTTGAGAGTTCGTTCCCTTTCTACATGTATTTAAAACAAAACCTAGTCGAGCCAAACATGTAGTAAACAATTAATATCCACAGGTTCTTGATATATTGTACTTTAAGTGCTTGATTCTAATACTATTTGTTATTGTTTTTGTATTATATGATGATTATTTAGTGTCAAGTGTCAAAATACATTCTGAATTGTGAGTGAAATGCAGAAAATTCGGTTATTGCTACTACAGTTACGCTTCGGAGCTTTTTAATTTTTGTTGGGGCAATTTAAGAGCAAATAGAAGCAGAAAACACGCAAAATAAACTAAAATTTTCTTTCGTATAACGGAGATTGAATTATAACTTCCTGATCCTGTGTAACATTGTAATAAATTGTAATCTATTAAAGTAACATTCATATTCGTTGTCATTAGTAGAAATGCTGTATAGAATAGGAGTAGGCTATTGATACTTGGCACCTAGATTCTTGGATATGCCACTCACCCCGGCAATGTTGGGTGGGCGTGGGGAGTATATATTTTGGATAAGCAGCTAAATCGAACGAATAAATAATACATGCGGTGTGAAATGGCTGTATTTAGTTACGAAGAGATATTTCAGTCGAAGGTATCAGAGAGAAGTCGGAAACGATAAGTCGTATCCACTTTGGTGTACAATTCGTCGGAAATTTTGCTTTGACTGGACTCAAGAATGTTTTATGTTACTCGCGGAGGATCAAGGGCGAAGACTCGCCGTCAACTTTGAAATGAGCGAGCGAAGCGAGTCAAATTGGCCTCTTATTTTGGCAATTGTTTTGATAAGCTATCTTAACTCAAAATCCTTAATACGGACAATTTTTTGAATCACCTTGAATTATTTAACGCATTTCACAGTGTTCCATTTATCCATACGCTTTAGCTGCTAGTGAAAATAAAATGTGCTCGCGAGCGTGGGCGTGGGCGGGGCTCACCTCGTGGACTCGGAGCGCTGCAGCGGCAGGGAGGCGCGGCGCTGGCGCGGGCTGAGCGCCGCGGATGCATGCAGCTCGGAGCTGGGGAAGTGCGGCAGCGAGTACGAGTCCTGCGGGATGGGCCCGGGCTCGAAGGCGGTGGCGGCGGCGACGGCGGCCGCAGCGGCGGCGACGGCGGCGGCTGACGACGAGGCGGCGGGGGCGACGCCCGCGGCGGAAAACGAGAGTAGTAGTAAGGAACAACTACAATAAGGATCAAAAGTAAAACGACATCTACGGACGAAACAAGATACAAGTGTAGGGAGCGGTTGAGAGTTGCGGAGATGTCGCTGAGGCCTCCAGAGCCACCAAGGGACTCCCCGAGCGGCGGCGGCCGGACGGTTGGCAGGCATGCGCGTGCGCCGGATGGCGGCGTCGGCGCGGAAGAGGGCGGCAGGGTGCAGCCGAGCGGGGCGGACGCTGCGGTGGGGGCGGGGGCGGGGAGGAGGTGTGGGGGGGTCAGACAGGTGGAGACACCGAACGAGGCGCAACAAAGAAGCGAGTACACGCGGCGGGCGACGAGCGGCGACGGCAGGCGGCGTGGCGCGCGGCGGCGTGGGCGGCTCTCAGCGGCGACCGGGGGCGCGCTCCAGTGGGCGACGCCGGCTGGGGGGACGACGCGACACTCGCTGTCGGTGGTAAGGTCGCGGACGGCCGCGGCGGCGCTGGCGTTCCGACAGCGCGGGCGGCGGCGTACGGGGCGTCGGGAGGGGGACGGGGGCGGTCGTTTCCATCTCGCGAACTGCTACGACGTGGACGGGCCCGGGGAGAGGGAGTACGTGGCGACGCACGCGATCGCCGGC